CGCTCTGCGCTGCTGCTGCTGCTGCGGATGTTGTTCGCTGCCGCGCAGCTGCGTGCGCCTGCTGCTGCGCCCTCCCCTCCGGCCCGCGCTACACAGCGCGCTGCTGCTACTCTGGTCTGGCGGGTTGCTGCGCTCTGCCGCTGCTGCTGCGGCTGCGCTGGCGCTGCTGGCTACTGCTGCTGCTTACTAACTTGCTCTCGCTGCTGCTGCTTGCGCGGCTGCGCTGCATGGCTGCTGCTTACGCTGCGGCTGCTGCTGCTGCTGCTGGCGGCGCTGGCTGCGCTGCGCGCGCTGCTGCTACTTGCCCGGCGGCTGCGCGTCGCGCTGGCGCTGCCGCGGCGCGCGCTGCTGCTGCCTGCTGGCTTCCTGTCTGCTGCTGCTCTGCGGCTGCTGCTGCTGCTGCCGCTGCTGCGTCGCGCTCGACTGCTGCGGCTGCGCTGCGAGCTGACTGCCACTGACTGCTGCTGCTGCTGCACTGCGCTGCCGGGCTCTGCTGCTGCTGCTGCTGCTGCGCTGCTCGGCGGTGCGGCTGCGCGCTGCGACGCTGCTGCTACGATCTGCTGCGAGCTGCGGCTGCGCTGTCTGCTCTGGGCGGCTGTCGCTGCTGCTGTCTGCACTTGCTGCGCTGCTGCTGCTGCTGCTGCGGCGGCGGCGGCTGCTCTGCTATCGCGCTGCTAACTGCTGCTGCCTGGCGGCGCCTGCGCTGCGCGGCCTCTTTCTGCTGCGCTTGCTGCTTGCGGCTTGGCTGTCGCTGCTGGCCTGCGCTGCTGCGGCGTCGTGCTGGCGTGCTTTGCCGGCCTTGCTGCTACTGACTGCGCTCTCGCTGCTGCTTAACTGCTTGCGCGGCTGCTGCTGCTGCTTGCTTGCTTGAGAGTAGCGAACAATAAAAGGGAATAAATAATAAAAAAACAAAAAATAATAAGTCGGCTTGCTGCTTGCTGCACTTGCGGCGCTACTCATTGTTCGCGTGCTGGCGCCGCTGGCCTGCGCTCGCGGCTGCTGCTTGCGTCTTATCTTGGGCTGGCGGCTGCCTCCCTGCTGCTGCGCGGCTGCTGCTGCTGCGCGCGCTCTGCTACGCCGCCTGCCGGCTGCTGCTGCTGCCGCGCTCGGCGGCTGCGGCGCGGCTCTGCTGCTAACGTGCTTGCGGCGCCTTTGCTGCTGCTTGCTGCTGCTTCTGCTGATGCGCTGGTCGCTTGCTGCTTGCTGCTACTACTATCTGTCGCTGCGCACGGCGCTGCGCGGCTGCTGCTGGCTGCTACCTGCTTGCTTCGCTGCTGCTGCTGTTTGCTGCGGCTACGGCTGCCACTGCTGCCTGCTGCTACTGGCACACTGCGCCTGCTGGCGCTACTGCTGGCTACTGCTCTTCGCTGCTGGCTGCTACTACTACTATGCCGCGCGCTGCTGCTGCTGCGACTAGCTGCGTGCTGCTGCTCATCTGCTAACTAAACCGCGCTGTCGCGTGCTTGCTGCTGCTGCTGCTGATTTGGGCAGTTTTTCTATCCGTTCCCGTCCACACTAAACGGTGCTCGCGATGCGCAAAATATCTCCCAAGAAAAGAAAATGTTTGGCGAAAATTAACATTCAACAATAGAGAGGTATTCTAGCTAGTAGATTTAATATATCACTTCACGCAAGCGACGTCAGCAAGAAACCCTCACCGGCGGCAGTCCAATAGACGACAATCGTTAAAATCCTCGTGGTCTCCCATGCACGGGCGGCGGCAGCGCGGAGGAGGAGAGCAAGGAGGAGGCCGAGAGAGGAGAGGAGGAGGAGAGGAGGGGCGGAAGTAGGGATGAAGCTAAATGATTGAGGAGTGGCTGGAGGAGGAGGAGGACGAGGAGGAGGAGGCAGGAGGAGGGGGGGGCCTGGAGAGGAGGGAGGAGGAGAGAGGCAACGGCAGAGGGGCTGAGAGCGCGCAGAGGAAAGAAGTAGGTAGAAAGGAGGAGGAGGATGCAGAGGAGAAGCGCAGGAGAGAGGAAGAGAGAGCAGGGAGAGGCGAGAGCAGAGATGAATTGTGGCTCGGGAGAGAGAAGTAGGAGAAAGGCAGGAGGAGAGAGGCAGAGGAATAGGAGGAGGAGCAGGGAGGAGGGGGCGAAGCAGGAAGAGGCAGGAGGCGGGAAGAGGGAGGAGAAGGAGGAGAGGAGGAGGAGAGGAGGAGCAGGAGGAGTAGGCGAAGTAGGAGGAGGAGGAGGAGAAGGGGCCAAGAGAGGAGGGAGAGGGGGCGGAAGAGGGCTGGAGAGGAGAGTGGGAAGGCAGGAGGTAGAGGAGGAGCAGAGGAGGGGCGAGAGGAGAGAGGAGAGGGTCGGAGTAGAAGAGAGAAGAGGAGAGGAGAGGAGGAAGCAGCAGGGAGGAGAAGGCAGAAGGGAGTCGGCGAAGAGGAGGAGAGACGGAGAAAGGGGCAAGGAGAGGGAGGGGCGGGAGGAGGGGCGAGGAGGCAAGGAAGGGGGGAGAGAGGGACGGAGGCAGGAGGAGGAGGCGGAGGATGGCGGCTGGGAGGAGGGGAGGAGAGGATGAGGCATGAGCCAGGAAGGAGAGAGGCAGGAGCGGACGAGAGAGAGGACGGAGGAGAGGAGGGAGGCGAGGAGAGAAGGGCCCAATTAGAGGGGCGGGAGGAGAGGCCGGAGGAGAGGCCGGAGGAGGATGGAGGAGGTAGGAGGAGGAGCGGCGGAGTAGGGGCTGGAATACCGGAGAGGAGAAGGAGGTATGAGAGAGGCAAGAGGAGGCATTGAGTAAGAGGAGGAGGAGGCGGAGGGATAGGAGAGGCAGGATAGGAGAGGTAGGAGGAGTACGGCAGGAGAGAGCTGAGAAGGAGGCCAGGAGGAGGGGCGAGAGGAGGAGGATGAGGAAGAGGAGGAGGTTAGGCAGCGGAAGGCGGGCGGGAGTCAAGAAGTGCGGAGAAAAGGAGGAAGGAGAAAGAGAGAAGAGGATGCAGGAAGGCAGGTAGAGAGAGGAGAGTAGGAGTAGGAAGAGGGTAAGAGGAGACCGGGGTAGAAGGGGAAGGAGATGAGGAAAGAGGAGTGATTCTGAAATAACCCGAGATGTCCCACCTGCACAGATACGAGAGCAGAAAACACAGTTCGCAGGTCCGAAAACAATTAGGATAGAGTTTGTCCTCGAGCTTCTGAACGATGTCAATCTGACGACTTCATCCTGATAGGGTAGTGCGTATAGTGAAAGCGGGTCACCTGAACCTGCTGCGCCTCTCCGAACAGACTTGCCCAGCTAGTAAAGTTAAGACACGATGAACATGCCGAAGAGCACTGAAAGTGCCACCATTGCAACTCCTCGTACACGCGTAACAACACGCACCACACACACACCATCAAGCACACACACACACATCGCACGCCACACACACCACTGAGCACACAACACCACACACCACAACACACACACAGTCACCACACACATCCACAGCATGGGCACACACACACGCACACACACACACACACACAGAGAAGAGAGAGAGCTTTACGATGACACACAGCTCCTCAACCTATCATCCTCAGCATCATAAAGCTAGGTATGACAAACCCCATCAGCGAGTCCACTGTGAAAGTTGCCTCCTCCCCCCGATGATCCCTCGACATCTCGTACATTACACGCCATCCGCCCAATTACACACATCAGACACAGCACACCCCCCACACACAGCTCACAGTCCCAGGTCTCCACACACACGACAACATTATACACACACACTCACACACAGCACACCCACTCACACACACCACTACCACACACAGGTCATCACAGGCCACAGCGAGCAAGAGAGAAAAAGAGAGCTAACGATGACACAACAAGCTCCTACATCACCCTCACATCATATAGCAGTGATAAAACGCCCATCAACGAGCCAACTGGAAGTCCTCCCCCCATGTCACCCCCTGTACAGCTCGTGACATACACGGCACCACAATACACACACAGACACACACACACACAACCACCCACAACACACCGCGAATGTACACCACCCGCACACACACAACACACACACACACAGCACACACATGTTCACACCCACACACGGCGGTGGCAGATCGGTCACACACACACACAACACACAAACACACACACACCACACACACACACACACAGCACCACACAACCATCATTTCCAGCCTACAGCGAGAGAGAAAAGAGAGAAAGCTAGCGAAACAGTCACACTCCTACTAATGCACTCCTCAGCATCATAAGCTAGGTGAATGATAAGACGGCCCATCAGCGACGCACTGGAAAGTTCCCCTCCCCCATGCCATCCCCTCGTACACTCGTCCACTACAACACACAGACACGAAACATACAGGACACCAACAGACCACACACAACACACACACACGCCCACACAAACACACACACACACACAAACTACACACCACACACCACACACACAGCGAGAGAGAGAAAGAGAGAGAGCTAAGCGATACACTAGCAGCTCCTACTATCACGCCCACATCAAAATAAGCTAGGTGAGAAAACGCCCACAGCGGAGCCCCCTGGAAAGTTGCCCCACCCCCCCTGGATGTCATTCCCCGTACACTCGTACAGCACACGCCACCCCACATATACACGTCAAGAAACATCACATCACACACACAACATCACCACACACACACACCCACACACCACAGGCAACACACAGCACACACAACCCACACACAGCACAAACAGCTACAACACACACATATACACACACACGCGCCACACATGCACTCACACTACACAACACATCACAGTACACACACACACAGCTACACACACACACCCACACACACAGCCACACCACAGCGATAAGAGATAAAAGAGAGAGAGCAGCATGACACACCAGTCCTACTATCACTCCTCAGCATACATAAAGCAGTATTGAAAACGCCCATCACGAGCCTCAACGTGGGTCAAAGTTTCCCCCCCCCCATGTTTTATCGCCTCTGTACACTCGACACACACACATGGGACTGCGCAACCCCAAATACAACCACACACACACACCACACACAGGCACCACATCGGCCCACATCACCACGCACACACAGGCGACGTTTCACACACCACACACACTGCACACACACACACACACCACTACCAATTATACACGCCACATCATGGCTGCACCACAACACACTACATCACATCACACACACATTCTCACAAGCTAACACAACCAACACACACCCAACACATATACACACATCAGACACACACATGCGCTCACACGATGCACACACACACACACACAGATCAGGGCCAGCACAAAGCAGCACACACACACGCGCACACATTAGTGAGCACACCACACAACACCACACAGCATGACGCACACACACACACACCAACATATCCACACGCCACAAACCCTCACACCCAAGCTGCCGCATACAGGTCCACATCAGCATTCAGACAGACTTTAATGAAGAATAAACCTTGTATACATTCTATAATCTATATAAACATGAATGGCGCTATTGTTTTAGTTATCTATTGTTATGTAGTTCTATAGCTCTAGTAACTATAGCCCGCGTACGTACGGTTGCCTGCGGAAACCGTACGCGGGCCATAGTTACCAGAGCTAGTAGATCTATAGTTCTATAGTTCTGCTGGTCTATTGTTGTTCGGCTTTTGACTTTTTTTGTTTGTTTTTAATCTTATTGCCGCCATTTATATCTGATATATATATATATATACATATTGTTACGTTGCGCATGCAGTCGTTCCAAACATTGAACATGGGGCGCGCTCGATTCCCACTTCAGCCGCTAGATGTCGCCACCGTCGTATCAGTCTGTCCCGCAGGCTCAACTTCCGGCGCGACGTTTTCCGGCGTGACGTCATGACTACGGACCGGCCGGAAACGTTCGGAAACGCTAAGGGCGGGCGACGGGCGAAAGTCGATCGTATTCATTCTGTCCCTGCTCGACGTCCTTGGTTCGGACGTGTCGCCAGAGGGGTCCCCTGTTCGCAGCCGCGCTCGCAGACGTCGGCAGGGAACGAGCGCTATATAAGCAAACCTGTAGCTCTTATTGACAATCGCGTAGACGTACGGGTTGACGGCGTGCGACGCCCACGTTAGCACCTCAACGCCGACACGCGCGTCGGCAGAGAACGTCGCCGTCGGCGGAACGCCGTGGACGACTGCGTACGGGAGGAAGCAGAGCACGTGGAGGATGAGGATGCTCACGATCATCAGCGTCAGACGCGTGTCAGCGCTGCGTCGCCCCGGTGCTGACGACGTCTGCCGACGCAGCTCGTGTCGCCGACGCACGACGCAGGCGATGTGGGAGTAGCAGATGACGATGGTCGCCGCCGGCAGCGCGAAGGCGAGCGCCGACAGAAAGCGGAGTGCCGACGTGTCGTCGGTCGGCAGCACCGTACAGGCAAACGTCGTCGCGTCGTAGCCGAAGCGCCCCCAGCGGCCGAGCAGCGTCGGCAGCAGGAGAGCGCAGACGAACAGGAGGCTGGCAGCGAGGATGAGGATGGAGCGACACGGTGTGAAGATCAATTTGTTGAAGCCTGGATGCACGATGAGAAAGTACCTGCGATAATAAGAGACATATATATATATTATATATATATAT